TTCCACCCCACCACCACTTATTTACATATGTTTAATATACATATTCAGCTTTTAACTTTAGGGGGTAGGTTTGGCATTATGCTTTTATAAAGGCAACCGCTGTTTTTCACAGGTCGTGGTTGCATCAGGTCAAATACCTGGGGTGCCTTTTGGATGAAATGTATGATAAACCCTAAGTGATCAGGACAACTTCTGGGTCATTCATTCCAGAAAGAGGGGCATTTGAAAGCTCTTTTGGGCCCATTCTGCAGTGTAATTTGCAGCAGGAGCTCACCATGGAGACCAGGAGTTTGAAGCACTTGATCTCCACTTGCAGAGAAAGGTGGTCACCTTTGGGGTCCATTCTACTGATTTTCCATAATCCTGGAAATGGTTTTTGATCATCAGATTTTGATAAAGGATCAGCATCTATAAAACAGTGTTGGGAAACTATGGCCCAGGGGCCAGAACTAGTGCAACACGTGCTTTTAAAAAAAGAAAAAAAGTTTTATTGGCATACAGCCACATCTATTTGTGTTTGTATTATTTATGGGTGCTTTCATGCTTCAGTGGCAGAGTTGAAGAGTTGTGATAGAGACCGTATGGTTCGTAAAGCCCCCAAATATTTACCACCTGGCCCTATACAATAAAAACAATATGAACAACCTAATAGAAAACAAATAGGCAAGCACAGGAGAGCATACCAAATAGCCATGAAGTATATGAGAAGATGCAGCTGTCATCAGAAAAAAAAAATTTAAACTGCACTTTGATTTCATTTCACAGGTATCAGATTTGCAAATATTCAAGTCTTACAATATCAGCTGTTGGAAGGATGTAGCGTAATTGGGTTTCTTATTCTCTGCTGAAGAAAGCACAAATAAGTACAGTCACCTTTAAAAATTGATTTTAGAGAGAGAGAAAAAAAAAGAGAGAGACACATCAATTTGCTGTTGCCCTTACTAATGCAATTCATTAGTTGATTCTTTTTGGTTTTTTTCTTTCTTCCTTTCTTTTTTTATTTTAATCATTGTTCAAGTACAGTTTTCTCCCTTTTACTCCCAATCCAGCCCACCTACCCAACCCTCCCCACCTCCCTCCCATTACCACCCTCCCCTTAGTTTTCGTTCATGTGTCCTTTAAATTTGTTCCTGTAAACCCTTCCCATTTTCCCCTGAAATTCCCTCTTCTCTCCCCTCTGGTCACTGTCAGCCTGTCCTCTATTTCAGTGTCTTTGGTTATATTTTGCTTGTTTCTTTGTTTTGTTGTTTAGGTTCCTATTAAAGGTGAGATCATATGGTATTTGTCTTTCACTGCCTGGCTTATTTCACTTAGCATAATGCTCTCCAGTTCCATCCAAGCTGTTGCAAAGGGTAGGAGCTCTTTTCTTTCTGCTGCATAGAATTCCATTGTGTAAATGTACCATAGTTTTCTGATCCATTCATTTACTGATGGGCATCTAGGTTGCTTCCAGCACCTAGCTATTGTAAATTGTGCTGCTATGAACATTGGCGTGCATAGGTTCTTTTGGATTGGTGTTTTAGTGTTCTTAGGATATAGTCCCAGCAGTGGAATTGCTGGGCATTAGTTGATTCTTCCATGTGTCCTGACTTAGGATCAAACCTACAACCTTGGCATATCAAGACAATGCTATAACCAACTGAGCTACCTGGCCAGGGCCAAGTTAAGTCACTTTTGAGAGCATTTTGACAATATCCCATAATGGTGAGTGCATATAATTTATGACCCAGCAATTCCTCTCAGACACACACACACACACAATACATTTTACAGAAACTCTTGCATATGTGAATGAACAAGGACACTTGTACAAGAATATTTACTCATGGTAGCATTTTTAGAAAAAACAGAAATGAGTTTAATATTAATGAGCAATGGCCAATGAAAATTTTTAAATGGAATACTACATAATAATGAAAATGAATTAACTGTTGCCACATATTTCATAACTATGAGTAAAGCTCACAGGTTGAGTAAAAAAAGCAAGCTGCAGAAGAGTACAGAATTATATTATTTATATATGTAAAATGATACTATATATTATTTAGAGATACACACATATGAAAAGCATAAACATGTGCATGGGAATTAATAACAAAATTTAGGAAGAGACTTATCTCCGAAGGAGAGGAAGAAAGGAATATGACTGGGGAGGAGTATAAAGGAAGCTTCAACTACATTTGTAACATTTTATTTCTTTGGCTGGTTGCAGGAAACTTAGATTTTTGTTCTTTTTGTAAATTGGAAATATTTCATAAAAAGTAAAATTTGGTATGCTTGAGGGATTTTAATCCAGTCAATCATTATAGCACTGCCAGAGAGGCCCCCCTCTCCGCAGTCTCCCAAGTGTTTGATTCCATAATGGAGCATCTTGGGTGCATTCACCTAGCAGGTACGACCTTTGCAAACACTTGTGCAGGCTCTATATTTACAAGGGTGCTTGGGTGAGGGGGTGAGTGGGGCCAAAGTTCAGCTTGTCCTCTAGGCAACAAGCTTGTGCCCTTTGAACAAAAACCCCAAGGTGAGCATCACCTGAAGTGGGTGCCTTCTTTCATGCCCCCAAGCACCCTGCAGTATGTGCAGAAACACAGCAGCCGGGCTCCACGTCCTGTGATCTAGCCAGTGGATGCTACAAATTCACTTGTGCGGAGTCGTGAAAAACTAGAAAGAGGAACCAGTCTGGAGGCAGTGTCTCTATTAAGTTTATTTTTTACTTGCCATCAAATTTTGACTCATTCCTGTATCTTCCTAGGTTCTTACAGTTTATGTAAGAGCTGATTGTTTTTTCTAGTTATCTGGGAGTGTATCTTAAAAATTAGTTTGTTTTGCTCTCCTAGGACATCTTATCTAAAAAGTGGAGACTAATTCCCTATTATCTTTAATGCAAAGCACATGTAATGTAGCAACTGAAAGAAACACTAACACTTTGACAGAAATTTTGTCTTACACAAGTCACAAATTTGAATCCTCTTTTTTTACCTGCATCTGATGGACGACAGCAATTTATTCTTCAATAAAATCTACATCTCTCCTTTCTCCATAATCTAATGTTCTTTCACCTAAATTGCCAGCCCTAAGATTTTATTCCATGAAAGTAAGGAATAAATTTCCCTAAGTGTGGCTCATGGACCATCTGTATCACATCCATGTGATATACATCAAAATGCTGATCCTATACTCCAGCCCTATTAAATCACTTTCCCCCCTTTTTTTTTATTGATTTTCAGGGAGGGAGAGAGGGAAAGGGTGAGAGAGGCATTGATTCTGTTCTTCCATTTATTTACGCATTCATTAGTTGATTCTTGTATGTGCCCTGACTGGGGATTAAACCCGAGTGTGACCTTGGTGGATTGGGACAACGCTCTCACCAACTGAGCTATCTGGCCAGGGCCTAAATCACTTTGCATTTTTAATCAAACTTTGCAGGTGATTCTTATGCTTACTAAAGTTTGAAAACTACTACTTTAAAAGAAAGGAAATGAGTTAATTGGCAAAATAAAATCAGTAAGTATAGTCTAAAATTGTTACTTAAAAACAGCAGAAAATTAACCCAAATACACCATATTTCCTCACTTCACCTACTTATGAGAGTCGTTAGAAAATAATGGAAATGAGTTAGACAATGGAAGCCAACGTAAGGGAGGCTCCAAGGGGACCAGACAAGAAGCCAGAAGCCTGGAAGTTTTGCTGTGATGATCTCCATCTGAGTACAGTATCGGAGCGTTTCAGATTGCTTATCTATAAAGCCAGAGGGCTGTCCATCTATCTTTAAGTTCTCTTTCACAGCTACAATTAGAAGAAATATGTAATCTCTAAAGCTTGAAGTCAAGGCGTATCTGTACACGCTGACTCTGTAGCATGTAAGTAAATTTGTTGTATGTTAGCCATGTGCCCAACCAAGGCATTGTTTTTAAAGACAAATGCCTGAATGCAAAAATGAAAATGTTTTGGTTTAGGTTTGCATCAACTTGTTTCGTTTCTTTTTTTTTGACTTACATGTCATGAGCAGTCAACTTTATGACAATGACATTTTTAACCTTGTCTGCCTTAAATTATTCATGAAAATGTCTTTAATATAGAGTAAAACAATCCAAAGGCATAGTAAAAAGCAAGAAAAGAGGTGCCCATAAAGCAGTATTTGATACAAATAATGATTCTGTGGGGTCTATTAAGCCACACAAGGCCACAAGAGAAAGGAATGCTGATAATTAACATCAAAGTTGCTGCTGGCTACTAAGTGGTAATCAACGCTCAAACCTTTTATTGTCTGGAGAAACTGTTCAGTATTCAGAAATATCAACCCTTTTGATCCTTAAAAAAATAAATACCCATGTTTTAGGATTTTAAAGTATGTGAGAAAGCAGTCTGAATTTCGGTCACCAAAATTCTGTATCCTCAATGGTACAGAATTACTAAGATTTAGCTACCAAGTACATATCAAGATAGGTATAGAGATCTCAGATGAAGTGAGAGGCTTGTGGGGGTACACTTTTAATTTGCCGTATAGCTAAAACCCAAATATTTACGTCAGAATAAAGGAGACTTTTTCTCTCCTCAAAATCTTTTTTTTTTTTCTATTTGCATAGTTCCCAAAGTCCTCGTCCGCTTAACAGTGGAGAGTCATTTGAAACTTAACTAAATGCTGGAGGCAAGTTCTATTTTTTCAGGTCATCCAATTTAGGCGATCCAATTTCTGCAGAGGGAAGAAGACGGGTGGGGGAGGGGAAAACCAGACTTCACGTCTTTAGATCCTTCCACCTTCAACCCACAACCTGCCACACAAATAGAGCCAAGTCAGGGATTTTTGCCTTGAACCACCACCACCACAACCTTGTCACTCAGGCCCAATAAACACGCCCCTCTGGTCCCGCTCTTGACCAATGACGGACACACTCCTTGCATAGTAATGAGCTCGAGACCTCCCCGGGCCAATGGCGCTCCGGGAGAAGGGTTAGTTTTGCATGTACCTAAGTGATTTGCATAACCCAGCGGCTGGGGGCTTGGGAACCCGAGCGTGCAACCCTAGAAGGGAAAAGGACGGGAGGAGATTGAGCCTCGGCGGCGGCGAGCGAGCGAGAAAGATCCCGGGTGTTTGTGCGAGAGCCGGGCGGGGGCAGGGGCGAGGGACCGGCATGGCTGAAGGCTGCGCTCCGCAACCTTGAAAAGCGGCTTCGGCGAAAGGCCGGGGACTGTAAGGCGGGTGCGATGGCAGAGCGCGGTTTCCGCAGCTGCGCCCGGCCCAGCCGGCTGGCCTGAGCCGCCGGAGCAGCAGGGCTGCCTCTGCGCTTCCATGGAGCAGCGGGAAGGGCGAAACTCCGGAGCGCCGCGTCCCTGCGCTGTTGCCTCAGACTGTTGAAGGGGCCGAGCCCCCGCGACCGCCGAGACAGGAAAGCAGCGGCTCCAACCCTCAGGCCGGCCGCCCCGGGCGGCGGGGGGCGTCGGAGGGCACCGGAGGCGCACGGAGCGAGCGGCGCCGCGGGAGAGGCCGGTTCAGGAGGCTGCCGCAGCAATGCCGGGCCCGCTGAGGTTGCTGTGCTTCCTCGCCCTGGGGCTGCGCTGCTCCACGGAGCCCAGCGGCGCGGCGCCGCCTCTCTGCGCGGCGCCCTGCAGCTGCGACGGCGACCGTCGGGTGGACTGCTCCGGGAAGGGGCTGACGTCCGTGCCCGAGGGGCTCAGCGCCTTCACCCTAGCGCTGTGAGTGTGGGAGGCGGAGGAGGACGGGGCGCGGGGGGTAAGCGGGATCGGAGGAAGGAGGATTGGGGGTCGGTGGGGGGGGCGGAGTCAGTGGTCAGCCCACTCTACCCTCCTGTTTCGAGGAGGAAGGGGGCGCCGGTCACCTGTGTGTGTGGGTGCTTGGCACCAACGCCGGCGCCGCGGGCTTTCCATAGTTGGTCAGTCTCTGTCTGAGCCGGAGGTAGCTCTTTTTAAAGACTTTTCGGGCACAGTCACCCCCCGCCCTCCTCCACCAGGTGTGTCTGGGTATCTGGGGCCAAGGAGGAGGGAGAAATCTGGAAACGCTTGCCCCTGGCACCCTTTTTGCTCGACCTTCCCATTTCACGCGGGCCCCTGCTCAGCTGGCAAGAGGTTTGCAGTCGGCGGGGTAAGGGTGCCTAGGACTTGGCCTAAGTCTTCAGACGCAGGCATGTTTCTTGGGGAAGCACCTGGAGCCTCCTGGGTTCCAGCATGTGGGGAGAAGAAACACCTGTACCTGAGGGCGAACCTCCTTCCAGCTTGGCCCTATCCCAGGTAGAGCGACCTGGCACCTCGATCTAGTTCCACTCTGGACTCCCCAACAAACGCCAGGGCTCTGGAGTGGGCAGGGAAACCAGGCCAAAATGAGGGAGAAGGAGGGGGAAATTGCAGGTTTCTCTTGGTGAAAATACTCGTCTTACCCAGCAAGACGTTTTCAAGAAGGAATTCTAACCTGAAGGACAGGATGTTGGAAGAAAAAGTTGCAGAGCCTATGTTCTGCCCAATTGGAAAGGTAGGCAGCAGTTTTCTGCTGTACCGTGACCAGCAGAACTTTCCTTTAGGGCTGCCTGCGGTGGGAAAACATTCAAATGGTTCTGACTTAAAATGCTCCCTCCTCAGACGGGGACCCGAGAGCTTTAGACATGCCCTTCAGAAAAGAAGTATCTGAAATCTGTCTTGGAGGTGGCATTGGCAAATGCCACCAATAGAGAAAGAGTAAGGTAATAGAGTGCAAGGCATGCTGTATGCTCTTGTTCTTGTGTTGTGACCAGCTGAGTGATTAAATCTAGAGCAGTGAAAAAACTGAGAGAGAAAGGGGTTCTGAGAGGCCCTTGCATAGAGGGAATTTCCTTTTACCTTATAGCTACTGAAAGGGACCTCTTAGAAATAGACAGTTTTAAAGGAATAACAGACCTGGTGAAGAAATCCTTTCTCTGCAGGCCCGAGCGGTGTTGTATTTCCAGGTGGGTAGTGGGACGTGTTCTACGTGCCCTCTAGTATGGGTTTATTGCCTCGGAACCTGTCTGGTACTTTTGGCCTCCAGTCCCTTTCTCAGGGTCCACCCCGCCCCCCCCCCCCCCCCAGTCTCAGATGTTAGTTATGTATTTCAAGACATTTCCCTTCAGTATGGTGAAATTTACCTTTACACTGAAAAAGGTTCACTTTGTAATGAAGAATAGTTTGCCCACAAAGGCACATTAAGTGGGAAAGTTGTAGTGGAAATGAGGGGAAGTGAGGGAAAGAAGACCTAGTAGAGAGGAGCCGGCTGTTTTTTTCCCCCTAGGTCTACTTGAAACTTTTAGGAAATTGACTCGGGAGAGCTACCTTTTACCTGAAATCTCCCTGGAGCCTCTCTGTAATAGAAAAGCATAATTTTACTGTTTTGATCATTGTAAAGACCTTGTTTAGCAGATTCCTCGAGTTTAATGAGTAGGCTTGCCCTATAAGAAAAAGGGCTATTTTACATTAGTACCTAAAACCACAAAGAAATATCAAGTTTTTATGAGAGCACACTCCTCTCTGTAGAGCGTCAAGCATCTTCCTTTAGAATTCACTGAAAGTAGTGAAATGCTGTATTCTCAGTCTTAAGCATTAGAAAATGTATTGTTCATGGCTTGGGAAACAGAAAAGTAACTGGCACCAGTCCAGATTAGATTGCCTAAACTATCATCATCACAGCACTTTCTGAGCTACAAGTGGTGAGTGAGCAAGTATGTTATATATTCTTCCACCTTGACATCCTTATGTCACCCTAATACTCTTCATTTCATCGTCAAAAATATATAGTATATGACCACCCCATCTAAAGGGCATTTCAAGGGCAGTGTGTTTGCATTTGGGGAAACCAGCTAGCCCAGTGATTTTCAAAAGCCAAATTGAGGAGGGGGGGGCAGGTACTGTGGGTCTGCACGCTCCACTGCATCTTACAGGACACCTTGGGCTCATCTGAGGTCTCTTTCCAGATAACGTTTCCCACCACAGCTTTAGTGAGTTTCAGTTATACACCAAGGGACCAGATTCATGGTTCCCAAACTTCAGTTCACAGACTCCTAATTTCTGGAGCGTGTTCATCAAGACCAATTGTGTTAAATACAAAATTACAAATAAAAGAATGGAAAATAAAGAGATGAGACTGTAATTATTAACCAAAGTTCTTTTATTTTCTTCTCATTCCTCAGTAGTGTGCCTTCACCTATCTCAGGGGTGTGTGCATCCCACTTGAAGGCCCCAGAACTGACAGAGAGCAGGGGTTTCATTTTATCCCCACTTGGAGTCCATAGAGCCTGGTCCATGGGAGGCATTAAAAAATGTTGCAGTGGGTAAATAAGGACTCAAGGCCATGCCGAGGGGCAGAACCAGGAATTGGAATTCCAACACCATTCCCGCACACATTTGCCAATTCAGCCTTCTCACCACTTAGTCTTTGTCCAGGTCTGAGAAGGCCCCAGAGAGAGGATACTTGCTGCTGCTTCTTCAGGCTCGTTTAAACTTGTTCAGTCTAACAGTGTTTGTTTCCTGTTGAAAGGGGCTTTATCTGAGGCTGGGGGCAGAGTCAGTAGTAATCCCCAGGATTGTTGATGGGATTCCCGTGTTCACACCGTTTTCTGCACCTGTAGTGATTATTTATGTTTTGCAGCAGCATTTCTCAACCCTGTGTCACAATGCACTGGCTTGTCACAGTTCACCCTAAAGTGGTTTAAAGGAAGTACTCGCGCACTAGTATTAAAATTTCAAAGTTTATTTTGTCAAAAAGATTGAAAGTTATTCCTGTATTAAGGTAATAAAGTCACTCTTAATCACCTATATTCCAAGATTCTTGACTAGGGGAGAAATTGATGAAGTCACAAGGATGGTAGGGAGGTTTGTGCATGGTTGTCCTCGGGTATGTGTGTCATGGCCACAAAGTTTGAGAGCTGTAAACCTGGAGCACAAGTCTCCATGTCCTAGATTATGTCTGGTACACGGTTTTAGGATTATAAAGGCTGTTTCTGTGGCTTCATGGCGATCGTGGTGCGTCTGAGCCCTTGATCGTTGTCTGGACCTTGCCACTAAGTAATTGTGTGGCCTTGGGCAAGTCATTCTACTTTGTGTGTGTGTCACAATTTCCTCATCTGAAAAATGAAGTAATTGGATTCACTAGATTATATCTAAGGCTGCTGGTGGCTTCCAGAAGTTCTGTGATTGTATAATTCTTGCACAATTTTAGGATGGCAAGGTGAGGATCATGTTCTGATCCTCTCATGAAAAGATCCCAGGAGGAGCAGGATATAATTCTAGTTGAAGTTGCAGAAGCCCATTTATTACCACTCACTTGGAGGAGGAGTTCTTTGTGTTTAGAAGTGTGTGTTAGGAAGTTTGCCATGGAGACTTGTTGCAGAATGCATGACTAGCTAAGGCGCTTTTCTAGGGTAGAATAGCCCTGCTTGTTTCCTGTGGGTATGGCTTAACACTTGGAAAATAAAATCACCCTGTTTCAGTAATTTGGATAATGTACAAAAAGTTACTCAATGTCCTCACTTCCATATAATTAGTCATAATCTCTTTAACCTTCACAATGTGAATATCCTGTACACGGGCAGGTTATTGAGCTTTCTATATAAAATTGATGGTTACCTGAGGGACTTTGAAGTATTTTTAAAAATAATCTGTTGGGGTTTTTTTTCTCCTTTTGGAAGCATCATCTGAGATTCTTTACTAAGGTTTTATTTTTTTTTACTACCCTAAACAGCTCTCTTCTTTTAATAGTATCATTTAGACTTTTCTTAACAAGAAAACCAATAAAAACAAAAAGAAATATTTTCTAATGTTTCCTCCAATGTCTGGTGCATTCCCTGGCAGGTCAGTAGTCGGTGATGAAATGTTTATACCTTTTTTAATGGTAGAGTTTTGATATTTCCTAATTTCTGTATTACATTCTGTAAATGTCATTGTTAGCTTAGTTTGTGTGGTGTGTCTTTCTAGAGATGTATTTGTATTATATAGATGTGAACTTGGTTCTAAACAAGGCCAATGTGTGAACAGTATGAACATCTTTAGATCCTGCACTTTACAAACTCCTGGGTTCTGTTTAACTACAAGAGAGGAAAGGGCATTCTGCAGGGAATGTGGAGTCACCTGGAGAGTGTCACACACGTAACCCTTCAGGACCTTAGTTTCTTCACCTTAAAACAAGAAAGTAAACAACTCTTATTGCCAAGAGTTCTATTTCTATTTAATTTGATTTTTAAAATACATTTCTAGGATTTGCTCTGTTAAGTATAGGTGTGCTTAAATCATGGACTCTCACCCACCAAGAAAACTCCAGTTGCCCAACTCTACTGGAGAAATATTTCCACTGAATGGGGAACTCACACAAGGCAACAATGTGCTGGGTGTGGCCTGAGCAATTCCTAAGATTGGAACCAGTAATTCTCTCATTCTGGGCTCCTTAAGGCTTGATATCACCACTGATATTTTACGATTTTCAGTCGAACTAAATGCTAAAGAAGGTTATGGTATCATAAGCATTTATTGTCCAGGCACTTGGCTCTTAACATTAGAGTTGTAAGGTAACATTGACAACTTAATCTCTTAGGGAAGATCAAAGTTCTGTACTAGTAGGTGGGTCTAGGCAAGTTTAGGCATTTTCTTGGCCTCTGTTAGTCTATCTCTCAAATTCTTACTTTAGTCATCTTTAAATAGTTTAAAGTACTGACAGCCTGCAAGTCTGGATTTTGGTTTTT